TACATCCTTCATCATCTTACTCCTCCCATTGCTTCCTTCCCTTCTCCCACTTTCTCTCCCCATTTCCCCCCTTTCCCCCCTAATTCCTTACCCTTTTTCCTATCCCTCACTCTCTTCCTTATCCCTCAACAGCTTTCAATCACTTTACAAAGACTGGAGCCTGATGATTATTTTATAAGCTTCCCAGAAAGGACTGCAGGATTCTAAAATTGTGTAAGGGTCTTTCCATGAAAATCAGATCCTTCAGAATCAATAGAATTTCAATTTCTTTTGAAATTGCATTGTGCTTTTTCTTCGCAAATGGTGCAGAGCTTTTAACAGAGCAATCACATTCTCTGTGCAACCCATTAATTAGTTAGCAATGAGAGCTATGGCAGTTCTGTTTGGAAAGCTTTTACGAGAAGTTGTCACACGTACAGGACCAGAGTAACAAAGAGGATTTCCCAGTACCTAACTCTTCGTTTACTCATTTCAAAGTCCTTAATGGAGCTCGGAAATTAAATCAATAGACCTCTCTGAATTTGCCATGGTGTTCAGTCTCTTGCAGACTATAGAGGTTTTAAGAAATGTGTAATTAGTTTTCCAAACCCTCAAATGGAATGTGTAAGGAAATTGACAACTGTACATGAGATCACTGTTCTCCACAACTTATCCAAGCTTCACAGAATTCTAATAAATATTTAATAAATATTCAGACCTGAGGAAGATTCAGGGTCAATTGTGTAGGAAGCAGACAATGTATTATCAACTGTTACTGAAAAGCATCTATAGACAGAATTAAACTTCCTAAAATTTAAGGCTGTAAACCCATCCCATGTAGTTTTCCTTTAAAATCATATAACGGATAGTAATTCAAGAGCAGAGTTTCTAACACAGTGATTATTCCTTAGTTCCAGATTATAATCAGGAATTTAGTTTCCTTTGCACGGTAAGAGATGAGGGAGAGGAATAAAAAGAAAATTGAGTTTCAGGCTCTTCCCCAAGGTATATTAGCAGGCAGAAGAGAAATAAGACTATGTTTCTCTTCAAATTGTCAGTGCTAGGTGGATTTCCTCATATCCATGCATTTATTCAATAATTATCGAACAGCTACTGTGAGCAAGGTTAAAGGATAGAATGTTGGAAAAAGATCCTCAAGGGGTTTATATATTACAACTTGGGGGAAAACACATGAAATAGATATTTACAATATTAGATGAATGTTAATTCCCTGGGAGTGATACAGAGCATGTGGGAATTAGGATTTAGGTGGGAAATTAAGGTCAGTTTCATGAGCTGAACCATAAAGAATGGTAGCATTTCCCCAAACAGAGATATGAAAAGATGAAAGGAACTGGTCAAACAAAAACATGAAGGCAGGGAAGTAGGTGACAGTGAACCTTCCAGCTTGATGGGAATGAAGGGTAGTGGAAGGATGTAGGTCAGCCAGGACCAGGGCATTGCCAGCCTTGAATGCCAAGCTAAGGAGAATGGAGTGAAGTCCAAAGGCAATAAGGATCCTCAAAGGCAATATGTGGGCCTCCAAAACTTGACTCCTTTTTCACCCTATTTGATTAGTTGTAAAGAAATCATATGGTAATAGAGCGCAGAGTAAAAAGAGCAAGTCGAAGAAGATGACATATAGCGTGACACTTTTTTTATGAGGTTAAAAACAAAACTAAATAACATATTGTTTCAGGCATAGGGGTGTGTGTGTGTGTGTGTAAATAAAAGCAAGGTGATGATTCACAAAATTTAGAGTATTGATTATTTTGGGGGAGCAATAGGTAGCAGGACAAGATGGGGAGGAGCATAGGTAGATGTCCGTATAAATTCTTAATTGTTCTCAATCTTAAAGTTGGTGGGTGTTTGTTCACAGATGTTTGTCCGTGAGTGTTATTTTTTTTTCCATGCATGTTATGAAGTAAGCAAATAAAAGAGGCCCTGGAGGCACTATGCCATAAACCAAGGAGGTATCCAAATCTGTGCAGCTGAGGGCCGCGGTAGACTAAAAAGATACCCCAATGATAAAGAGGGGCCTCCCACTTGGCTGGCACCAGCAGGGAGGGTTTATTTTCCTTCCGTTTCTCTCCTCTGGGTGAGCTGCCTGGGACTGTCGGAGTCCTGAATCCGAAGCACTCTGCTGTATTTGGAGAATGGTGTTGCTCAGCCCCGGCTGCAGATCAGAATCACCTGTGGGGCTTTAAGCATTACAGACGTGCATGCCCCACGCAGACCCACTGAATCCGAGCCTCTGGAGGAAGGACCCAGGTACATACATTTTCAAATCACTTCATAAGTGATCCCGGGGGCAGCAGGGACTAGAAACCATTCCTTGCAGAGGATGCTTCAAAATTCGAAGTGGCCAGCTTGTCACAAATGTAGATTTCAGGGTCCTATCCCCAGAGAGTCTGATCTAAAAAACAAGGGACAGGACCTCGCAATCTGCATTTGTCATAAGCATCTCCAGGTGATTCTGATGAAGGGACTTCCTGGGACCACATTGAGAAACATTGCCCCAAAGGTTCCAAAACACTAGGGACTCCAGGTGATGACTCTGTGTATTCGTTTCCTAGGGCTGCCATAAACAAAGTACCACATACTGGGTGGCTTAAAACAACAGAAATTTATTCTCCTAGGTCTGGAGGTTAGAAGTCTGAAATCAAGGCATCAGCAGGGCCGTGTTCTCTCTACAGTCTGTAGGGTAAAATCCTCCCTTGGCTCTTCTAGCTTCTGGTGTTTGCTGGCAATCCGAGGCATTCCTCAGCTTATAGATGCATCACTCCAATCCCCGTATCGTCCCTTCTGATAAGGACACCAGTCATATTGGATGAGGGCTAACCTAATGACCTCATTTTAACGTGATTACATCTGCAAAGACCCTATTTTGAAGTGAGGTCACATTCACAGGTACGAGGTGTTAGGACTTCAACATATGTGTTGCGGAGACACAATTCAACCCATAACACTGTTTTAAATAGTTGTTTTTTTGTTTTGTTTTGTTTTGTTTTTTTAAGGAGGGCCCCAAACCACCAATAAGACTGATTAGCTATGTTCTTTGGCTGGGATATCTAGAGAGAAAGACCTACAGTTACCTTTCAAAACTCGATGTACAAAGAACCACTTGAAAAGCTTGGGCTTAGGATGCATATTCCTGGGTCTTGATCCAACATATTAGAATTCAGGAAGCCCCAGGAAGGGCCTAGAAATCTACGTTTCAGGTGACATGGTGGGGGGGGGTCCATGCATCACGCCCTTGAGAAAAACTGGATTTAGGAGAACAAGCAAGGTCGAGGACCAAGTGGTTTGGGGAGGAGGAGCTCCCAAGAACAGACCTGAAATCTGCATTGGTAACAAGCTGCCCTGATGATCCATTGCCTTTGGGAGATGGTGTTTCTAGGGAACTAAAGGATATCTACTGTGATTGTCTTTTCCACTTGCTAGTGAATCAGAAATCAAAATAAATATACCTTTAAGTAGTGGACAAATGTTTCCTAGACCGTCGGTCCAAAGACAGTAGAAAGATAGCCTGTCTCTTTGCCCTTGTTTCTTATGAACCAGGTGGCTCTGCTAGACAGTAGGGCAGTTAGATAGGTAGGCTAAGAAACATGCTGACTACAGAAAGTATAGTGTGGACGAATGAATATAAATTTTAAGTGCTCCCAGGCTGGGGGATTATTGGAAGAATAGTGTGATTGTTGGAGCTATTTCCATGAACTCTCCTCGGGTATGTTAACAAGAGACAGAACTAGGCTACATTGTCCGCTCTCCGCTACTATTGCATAGAAGTTTGACGAGTGATGGAAGTTTATATTGTTTATTTTAGTCACCCATATTCCAAATTCATGTTCAGAATGACAAGCTAAATCATTTTGGAAGATGTCAGTAGTAAATAGCTGACCCTATTCACACACTGGAATGTTTTTGCCAATAAAGACAAAGTTCTGTCTTTACCAATAATGAAAGATACAGTTATTCGCTCAGAACAGACGTACCCTCTCAATTCCGTCTGATCTACAAATACTGGGAAAAAAAGTACATTCTTGGGGCGCCTGGGTGGCTCAGTCGGTTAAGCGTCTGCCTTCGGCTCAGGTCGTGATCCCAGGGTCCCGGGATGGAGCCCCACATTGGGCTCCCTGTGCAGCGGGGAGCCCGCTTCTCCCTCTCCCTCTGCCCCCTCCCCTCCTGCTCTGCTTCCTCTTGCTATCTCCCCCTCTCAAACAAATAAAAATAAAATCTTTAAAAAAGTACATTCCCACTCCACAGACCTAAATGAGAGAGAAAGAACACAAAAACAAAATTGGGGGAAGCCTGAATTCCTACAAAGTCTATGATTTGTTAAAATGAGCCATGGCACTGGGACCTGGAGTTTGAAAAATGACTCCTTAGATTTAGGTCTTCTTTATTTTATTTTTTTAAGTAGGCTCCATGCCCAACATGGGGCTTGAACTCACAACCCTGAGATCAACAGTCGCATGTTCTACCAACTGAGCCAGCCGGGCACCCCTAGGTCTTCTTTATTTTAACGCTAGGATTACCTGGTTAAGCCAGGGCAGCCGTTCTCATCCTGGCTGCACTTGAGAGTCACTTGGGAGCTTTTAAAAAATACTGGTGTTTGGACCCCACCCCAGACCGATAAAATCTGACTCTCTAGAGTGGTTTCCTGGCCCCTATTGTGGAGATTATGATTCAGAAAGTCTACTTTGGGGCCCTTGGTCTATATTTTATTAAGTACCTTGGGTAAATCTTAGGACCAATTAGTTTGGAAAACACTATCCTAATCTAGCCTAGTTATTAGTTGCTGTTCAGTGATTTGAATTTTTCCTTTCTTTAATAGCCATTTACCACATAGCAAAAGGCATTCAAATTGAAAACTCAGGGTATCATTTTAAAATTAATTTGCCCTTAGCAAACATTTTGCAATATGTCCCTTAATTTGTATCCCAAAAGAAATTGCCATCTGTTTCTCTTAGATACCTGAATCTTCTATTTCTGTTTTTGATTTTCAGGAATATAAATCTGTTGAAGAATCTTAAGAGTCAAATCTTCTGAACCTAGACAGACTGCTGTCAGCATCTCTGAGACCTCCTCCTTCTGAGAATTGCCAGGTCTGACAACACCTTCCCTCCAACCTACGGTGAGGGACGTCAACACACGCCCTCAAGCCGTGGCAGCTGGGCAGGAACCTTACCAGCTCCATCCTGAGGGGAGATTCTGAGAGACAAGAAGCGTGAAAATTCAGATATGCTGAGCCTGAAATATACAAAAGCCTTTAGACAGTCTCCTCACAGAAGAACCCAGTTAAATCCACGTAATTAGTGCGCACACTCAGATGAGCCGTAGGTAAAGCAGAGAGCCTTTCTCCCTCCATCAAAACAGAGTAAAAGTTTGATTTCATACTCGGAAATTTCTTGTCCCCATACCAGTATTATAAAAAGCAGTTTCCCCATCATTTGTTTTAATCAGTATAAGAGTAGGACTGTGGAAAATAAGAGTTATTTATATATTATTTTTTTAACGATTAAGAATTTCTGATAAAACCTATTGAGGGACAAGGGTGCTGGGCTGGAGGATAGAGTATGGCCATTGCCAAATTAGAACATCACCATTTTCTTGCTTGTGCACCACTTACTTGGTTCAGGTCGTGATTGCTTTCTTTGCACGAGATTGTTAGAACACCTCCAGTATATTCAGAGACAGTCTGAATGACTGTGGAATGCCTCGAGGGCAATAGAAAGCAAACCGAAAGAGGTACCCACAGAAGTTTTGAGGGATGACGGAGGTGCATTTCAAGTACCATGGAAACCTCACCGGCCGGGCCCATTTCCCCACCCTGGCAACAGAGGTCGACACCACTGCAGATAAGTATTCCAACCTCTACATGTATGTGGGCTTATTCTTGAGCCTCCTGGCCATTCTCCTCATCCTGCTCTTCACAATGCTCCTTCGGCTCAAACATGTCATCTCACCCATCACTTCTGAGAGCACGGAAAGTGTCCCTCAGTTCACAGATGTAGAGATGCAGAGTCGAATCCCCACTCCTTAAAGTCAGGCTGAATACGTGCGCTAGTGGGTCTCAGTAAACCCTTGTATGTTGATGTCCAGGAAAGCTTATTTTGTTGCACGTGGCTTCCTGTGTAGGGAATCAACAAGTTGTTTATTTAACAAGCTGTTCGTGGTTTTTTTTGTGTTGTTCTTATCTTGATTGTGCTTGTGGGATATCTAAGAGGTTTAAGACTCGTTCTGTGCCAGGAATAAAGGAAATGGCAGCTGGTTGGGAGGGCAGGTTGCCATAGTAACCAAAGAGAGCCTGGGCCTTGAGCAAACCTCAGACCACAGAAATTCACATGCAGCTATTGTAAAAAAAACACAGGATCCCTGGAAGCACCGAGAACAAGAAAGATTTGCTTTCGAAGGGGCTGATGGTTCAAAGAGGGTACCCCCAAGAAAAGGACAAGTTTTAATTGAGCACTTGGACCCTAAAGAATCGTCTCTGCTGACATGAAGTTAAATCATGTCAGAGGCTGATGGAAGGGACCACGAACCCTTTCCCAAAGGAACAGGGATTTTATCATCCAAGGCCATTGAGTTTGTCCCAAACCAAAGAAGAGATTTAAAGAAACTGTTGCAGTTTAAAGAGCAACTTTGCAGAAAGAAGTTGCTAGTCAACAAATTCGTCTAGGGAGGGAAAAAAATGTGCATTTTATATCTGTGTTATTACTATTACTGGACTTTCAAAAACTCAGATAATGGCAGATGTATTACAAAAATCCAGAATGATGAGCCACCCCCAAACCAAGGGAAAATTAAGTTCAAATGTGCTCATGACAATGAAACTTACATTATACGTGCAGTTTCTTTACCTTTTTCTCCCTCCCCGTCGCGCTCTAGGACTGAGTTGCACCCAAAGATGAGTTTTGTTTAAAGATGATCCTGGCAGGGCGCCTGGGTGGCTCAGTTGGTTAAACGACTGCCTTCGGTCAGGTCATGATCCTGGAGTCCTGGATGGAGTCCCGCATCGGGCTCCCTGCTGGGCGGGGAGTCTGCTTCTCCCTCTGACCCTCCCCCCTCTCATGCTCTCTCTCTCAAATAAATAATATAAATAAAAAACCTTAAAAAAAAAAAAAAAAGATGATCCTGGCAAAAAAGACCCAACTAGACTTTAAAGCAGAAATGAAATAATATTGGTATTCTGTCACTGTAGGACTGTGGCTTTGGACAAAACATTCCATCTTCTGGGTGCCAGGTTTTTCTTTCTGAAAAAATGATCAGAGAGCTATTTAGTCGCTGAGCTCCTTTAGATCTGAGTGTAAGAAAAAGACAAAGGAGGAAAGGACTAAACACCACCCTCCTACAAATCCTTATTAAGATCAATGCCCTCAAATGTCACATTTGTCTTTCCCAGAAAACACGTTTTCTTTCCTGATCCCTGCCCAAAGATGAAGTGTTTTGCTTATTACCTATAAGAGAACGATATTTTTAAAAATTCCATTCTCATAAGTAGCCTAGTATGCCAGTAGTAGAGAAAGAATTTGATTTTTTTTTTTTAAGTGAACGTTCCAAAAGGGAACCGAAGGAGATGAGTCCTATTTACAAATCAGGCATTAGAAGGCTGGTCATCTACTTGCTGCCAAAGAACTAACACGTGCGTGTTAATTTCTACCTGCTTAAAGTAATTCTACCCTCGTTAAAAAAACAATTAGTTCTCTCTGGCACCTAAAAGGTGGTCCTCAAATTTCACAGGGTGCTCCCTCGGGAACTGCCGTGGTGTGAGAGAGAAATGGTCCGGACTGGATGGCAGGTTAATGCCACCTCTACCAGACATGCAGCTCTCTCTAGTCTGTTACCAATTTAGATTGGCCCCTTTACTCTGATCTAAATCTAGCTTGGTTGTGAAATTCCCAAGTGCTTTCTACTTTTATACACAGTCATTTGCCAATACTCCTCTCTCCAAGGGGCTGCAAAGTGTGAAATCCCCACATGCAGAGCTAAACTTAGCAGCAAGGCTCCTGCCTCTGGCGCACCTGTTACAATAGCGGACCTTGAGAGTTGGCAGCTGTATTCGGCACCATTCAGAAGAGATCAGCAGGTAGGCTAAGACATAGGGCGTGCACTTCCCTTTTGGCATTACGTTTTCCAAAACGCATAGTGACTCTTACATTATTACATTTGGTGGTTCGAGTTGTGTCTGCCTTCAACAGCCAGACTCCATGTACCCTTCAAAATTTTCGTTCTTGGCAGCCTTCCATGGACTCCATCACAGGTTGGCAATGTTCCCCACAACTTCTCAAGGACACACATATCCCCTCGCTCCAGGCTCTCCCTTTTGTGCTCACAGTATTTGAATGCACTTTACAGGTGAAAAGTCAGTGGCTGGATAACATGAAGGAACTGAGTACACTTTCGACAGCAGTGAATAGCAAGATATTCAATGCCTTGATGCCTCGAGTTGATGAACAGACAGACTTACAAATCCATTCCTGCCGACCTGACCTCCCAACCCTCATTTCCGGAGCTTAAAGCTGCTCTTTAATCACTGACTTGGATGAAGAGTCCTAATTTATGATTAGGTTACTCACCTGGAAAACAACCACCCTCTTTCATCACAACTGCCCCATGGGATCCAGATCTTCACTGAGCATTAACCAAAGCCCACAGCACAGTTGCACTAAAATAGTGGCATAACCCCCCCGCCCCGATACACACACACACAATTTCCAGTGATAACATAAATGGAGATGCATCTAAGCTGATGTGTCCTTATGGTGACTCACATGGTATTTAATTTTTAGGAAAATGAACTGGATGTTTTCATCATAGCAAACTTACTGTAAAGACAAGAATTTTTCCATTTGTATTAAATTATATTCTATCCCTTGATACATTAATTAACATATATTACTGCTCAAAGAGGCAGCCAGAGCAAACAGTGGGCATAATTTGAATTTATCCATCTATCCAAAATGCTGACTTGGCAACTCCCTCTCCCATCCCCACTCTCCAAAAGTTGCACGGTAGCCTAAGTGCATATAAACAGGTTATTTATACGTAGATGTACTCTGTTTTAAGGTGAAAGAATGATTCTTCACTTTTTATTATGCTGACCCATATGAAATTGCCATTTCCGTAGGTCAAAATTGTTCAACTATCAACAGTTTCATGTAATTCAACTTAATAAAGAGAAGACTCACCACATGAATTTTCTAAATGGTAAACTCTCCTGATATGTTAAAAAATAACTCAATTTCTAAAAATGTACTTTGCATACATTTCAGAATCGTGGGTTGTATAAAACAAGGTATATTGTAAAAAGACTTATGTATTATGTATTAGGCAGGAAATATTAAGGTTAATCAAGTAAAGATGGGTTCATCCAGCCTAACCCTTCCATCCATGCCAAATCTGAAGCTTTGGACTCTGACTTTGACTGCTGCAGACCCCACAGTACTTACTACGTAGGTCAAAGGGGTCCACTTGATGCAATTAAATGGTTATATTTAGTAATACATTTTTTTCACCTGCATTTGTACTAAAGGAACTTTTTTTTTAACAAAATGAAGAACTGTGTGAAAGAAAAAAATTGGGTTTCTTTTGTTTGAAATTGTCAATATTTCAGATAGATTCATATGGTATAAAAACAAATCTAATATTTCAATTACTATTTAGCATGTCATTTTTGATCCCTGGAAAATAAACTTTGGTTTGCTGATAACACATATCTATTGCCTGAAGAATGTAAAGAACATTAGTCTCTTCATCCTGATATAAATGGGAACAGCTGCCAATTTGTGGGATTCATAATTTTTTTATTTTTGAGAGAGCGAGAGAGCACGTGTGCACGTGCATGCAGGTGCGCAAGCGGGAGGGGGGAGGAGCAGAGGAAGAGGGAGAGAGAGCCTGATTCGGGGCTTGATCTCATGACCTGGAGATCCTGACCCGAGCCGAAATCAAGAGTCATACACTTAGCTGATGGAGCCACCCAAGCGCCCCTGTGGGATTCATAATTTTGAGGTGTCATTATTTCTTCTTATTCCCCAGTTTCCCAGCCTTTATTTTCTTCTGACTTGCAAAGTTATTGATGCATTTGTTTCTATTGTAGTAAGATGTGAAAAATGGATAATGAATGCCAGCTTCCAGGGAAGGTGATCCGAGATAAGAGTGAGATAAGGTATCTAAAGTATCACTATCTTTCAACATTTCCCGCCCCTCACAGGTTATTTTTTTGACGTACCTTTCCTTTTGTCCTTTCTTTATTTGAGCCTCACAGCCACCCTGTGAGTGACTGAGTGTTACACGAACACAAGTGAGGGAGGCATTCATGGTTACACACAGGCCGAGTCAAGACTACACTGTCAGTCTTTGGACTCCTAGTTTAGTACTCCTCCTACCATGCACTGCTTTCTGAACACTGAATAGATATTTCAAAGCTATCCATGCTAGGATACTCCAAGTTCTGCCAACAACGTTTGAGCTCTCTAGGCGATTAACTCCCTGTACCCAAATTCAAAACAAATAAGCAGAATTGCTCCATCTCTTCAATTTTATAGCCACAGTAATGCATATTAACAAACTGTAGGAAAGTTTACACAAAGGCAGATCCTGCAGGTTTAATTTACATGAATGAAGGGAAGAGGCAGAAATATGGATGGATTATCACCCGCAATGCAAATTCCATCCTCTGATCAGTTGACTTAATGTCCACAGTCAATGCCAACTCCTCATATGCATGATTATCTCTCCCCTCACCCCTAGAAAGGAGAACACCTCCTCTTAGGTAAAAATAGTGCACTTTTTAAAAATTGTGTAGTGTTCTAAGTATACACAGCAGTTCTATTTGTGCTCTATAATAGATGCAATGACACTAAGAGGGAGAGAATTATTGGCTAAAAGGGCTTCCTTCAGCCACAAAGAATGAATTGGTGTGCCTGTTGGAAAAGGAGACAAAAATATGGAACATATGTACAGCAGGAAAAGGAAGTGCACCTATTAAATATAAGTGAGGAGATTTTGAAAAATAACTTGAGCAATTCTAGGTATTCTGATTCATTTTCACATCAAGTATTTATTGATAACATCATACACGAACATGGAGGAGAATAAAAGAGACAGATTATACAGTGTACTAGGCTAGGTTCTGCGGATCTAAAGTCGACAGTGGGCAAGTTTGAAATCTGGCAAAGATGATGAGTACCTGAATTCATTCATTCATTTATTCACTCATTCAACATTTATTCAGCACCTCCTGTGTGTGCTAGCAGTGAACACAAGGTACAGTCTATGCCCTGGTGAAGGTTATAGCCTACTGGGATAGACAACACCAATCAGATCGTTACGAGACCACACTGTGTTCTAAAGATGAAGCATAGGGTGCTTAGGTACAGATAAAGTGGCAGGAATGCTGCCTTGCCAGGCCTGGAGTGTCAGGAAGGACTTGACTGAGGAGATACTATCTAAACTAAAATCTAGAGGATGTGTAAAAGGAGAGAAGGGGGCGAACCTTCCATAGAGAGAAGAGCATGTGCAAAGATTCTGCAATCAAATAAGCCTGTCACACCTAAAGAAGCACAGTGAGTGAGGAGAAGTCTCCTGAAAGCTGAAAAGCTTTACAGGGACAAGAACATGCAGGGCCAGGGGCGCCTGGGTGGCTCGGTCGTTAAGCATCTGCCTTCGGCTCAGGTCATG